GAAGAGGTTGGGCAGTGAAGCAGAGAAGCTGTTGCACACTGAGGCTGAGCGTGTGTGTGTCCGTGTGTGTGTGTGTGTGTGTGTGTGTGTGTGTGTGTGTGTGTGTGTGTATGTGTGTGTGTGTTGGGGGGGTCAGATTAAGACACACTAGGTATCCACTTGTGGATAACCATGAAAAGAAAATCAATATCCTCAGCAGGATTAATTACTGGGCACATAGCACGTGCAAGCTTCAGTGTGTACAGACCACTGCTGTGCACACACATGACATTTGTTCACCTCGTACACTATCAGTTGAAGAATCTACTGGGCTGTAGTCTGCCTGGTACCATTTCACTCTTTATTGACGTTAAGCAATAGCTGTTATGTTAAGGGAATACGAGTCTCTATGTGTCAAGATGTGTGCGTGCTTTCTACAATAGCTGCTATGTGTGGTTAATCTCTCTTCGACAATAGCCTCCCTGAGCTGCCAGCTCTCAGGCCCACAGGCCTGGAGTGAAGCCTGGGGAGCGGGTTGGAAGTCACCCAGCCAGGACTCAAGAGACTGGGCTTGGACTGCCTCCAACTCTCCCTCTGTGGGGATGATTGAGGGGGTTGCAAGGACATTACTGCTCTGCAAGAAGAGACCAAGAGAGGAGGATGGAGATAATGAAGGGAGAGGAGAACAGATGGAAGTGAATAGGAAGGGCAGGGAGTGAGCAGAGCAGAGTAGGGGAAAGAGGATAGGCTAACATCTAGTTATGGCGCTAAAAGCAGTATTCCCTATGCTGTTTGTGGTGCAACAGTAAGAAGGAGAAATACCCAACTGTCTGTCTGTTTGTTGTTTGGGAATTCTTTGTCTGCAGTTAGCTCTGTTTCACCAAAAGGCTACTAAAACGTCTGTTAGCTGTAGTTAATGTTGCTACTAAATCTTTGTTAAGACAGGTCCATTTGAGTTCTATGGGTTAGGGTTAGGACATGGACTATTGGTTATAGTGATTTATTGCAAGGTATACGGTAACTAGGCTCACCATGGCAGTGCAAGGTGAAAAATTAAATGGCAACAAAACCTAATTTGTAAATGTATTCACCCAGTTTCAAATGGGCTTAATTGCTTCAATTAAATAACCCTCTTGACACCAAGTGTAAAGATACAGATGGTGCCGTTTTAGTGAGTTTCCTTTTTTCTAATTTCCCAACTGACACAGCAATCTTAAAAAGAAAGAACATATTCCAAGTTCACCATCTGTATCTTTACGCACTGCGGTGAGAGGGTGATCGTTTATATTTTCTTTGAAACCTCAGAGACTGTACCAAATCCCATCTTAAATGATAGTCTTCTTAAGTCTACTTCAGTCATGATTGAGTCTGTGCTTCATCTGAGAATGGAATAGACATTAATTAGAAAGACAAGCAGAGACAGACACATTTAAAACATTTCTTAAATGGAAATAGCATAATCATAACTCAGAACGTGCACGTACAGTAATGTGTCCGCTCAATTTGCCATGAGCAAGACTCATGGCTGTATGCAGTGTGCTTTGTTTCAGAAAAGAAAAATAAGTGCAGACTCTTCAATGGGATTTGTTTTTGACATGCGATGTAGATATATGACTCACATTGTCGAATGCTTTCTCTAACACATTTGTAATTCTTAGTTATGGTTAGTTTGGTGTTAAATAACACTCAAGTTCTGTTTCTCCCTCATCCTTTATGTTTTTTTAATATGTTTTTTTTAAATGCAGTTTAATGCATTCAGACCAGATTTTGCCAACAGCGATAATCCACTAAGTTGAAAACTATACAACTCCATCACACACTCTTGTCTTCACTGTCAGCATCCTTTTCACTCTCTCTAGTGTTACACTTCTCTGGCAGTTTAATTATTCCAGCATGCATTCATTTTACTACTGACTTTTTACTATGAAATGAACCATCTGAAGCATCTGCTCTATAAACAAACACCAGTATCCACAGATATGGCAGATAAGACACTGAATAACCAATTGATTTTAAACTGATAAGAATTGCAGTTTTATTATCAAATGCTGTAAAACTGAGGATTGACTTGTACACTGTATATTTAAACAATGAATGCAAGCTTATGCATGTTCATTTCCTCAACAGTTTGAATTCCTTTATGTTATGTATATTTAGGAAATATTTATGTTTTGATTTTTCAGATACACATTCAGATATACACACACTGCGGAGAGAATCCGTGTGAGAAATGTGTTTTCAATAAGACCAGGAGCTTAGTGTACTCTGCGTTTAGAGGAGAGCAAAATGAGCAGTTTTTCTCCAAGGAAATATCTAGAAAGAGATTGGACAGCTACAGCAGTATGGCAAATGAGCATAGACTGTGATAGTCAACAGGGAGATAACTATCTCTCTTTCTCTCCCTTCTATCCCTCTAGCTTCCATGTTTTTTTCTTCTCAGCTCTCATTTATTCCATCTTCCAATATGCACTTTTACTTTTGTTCTTTCCCTCGTGTGCTCTGCTGTGACAACATATCCATCGTGTCGTTTTTTCCTCTTTAGAGGTGTACGAGACGCAGAGCGAGCTACAGGGAGAGAGGGAGATACAGTATCCCCGTGCATTTAGCTGTGAGTGCATATGTGAGAGGATCTGTGTGTGTTTGTGACTGCTACAGTTATGCATGCCTGCCCTCACGCAGGGCATAAATCACCATTAGAGATGACAGGTGTGTGTGTGTGTGTGTGTGTGTGTGTGTGTGTGTGTGTGTGTGTGTGTGTGTGTGTGTGTGTGTGTGTGTGTGTGTGTGTGTGTGTGTGTGTGTGTGTGTGTGTGTGTGTGTGTGTGTGTGTGTGTGTGTGTACTAAGACAGGCCGACTGCAGCAACTGAGCTTCCCATGCTCAACAGGCTGCCTTATTGTTGAAGCTCCAATGATCTGTTCCACTCCGTTTCCAAGGTTTCCCAGACCTGGGACTGCTGTACAACACACACACCAACACACACACTCTGCACTGTCTCTGAGAATGGGGTGACCTTGCACAGTGATGAGAGGCTGGTTGATAAACTCTGCTGAGAGTGTTTACTCTCGCTCAAGGCTAGCAGGCAAGTAGCTGTGTGGCGCTCAACCCGTGGTTTATCCAAACTGAAATATGGCCTCTGCACAGCAGCCATTTTACAAACTGACAGCACAGGAGACATAACCTGCTTCAATTCATATTCACACACTCTGTGCCTCAAAGCCTGCAGAGAAAAGCTCGCGTTAGGCCATATTTCACATTATAGTCAAGGCAGAACTTTACTTTTAAAGTTTTCTATTTTAGCACTTTGATTTATTGATACTTTTTGGGCCATGGACTCTCGGCACTATTTGTATCATTCTTAAACATGTGTTGTATTGTCAATCATTGTATTATCTTTATAATATTTATAAAGATTTCTACTAAAAGTAAATTATTCAAATTGTTCGATCTCTCCAATCCGTAGTCTAAAACTTGTTTGTTTGCGTTGATTAATATTTACAATGTAACAGTTGTTCTCAGTATGTGGTCCTTCTCGTGTTACAGTACAAATTTGCTTTTATGTGTAGTACCCGTTTCTGAATGCTATACATTTTAACTGTTTTATTCTTAATTTTACTCTTCTCTCCTTAAAAGTCAAGCGACATCACAAGATACACATTGCCATGAGTCCTTTCAGATTGTCAGTAAACAAGTTCAGGCACAAGGATCACCAAATGATAAGGGGGAACTTAAACACAGCTATCACTTCCTGTATCGGGTTAAAAAGAAAGGGGAGTTCTCGATAAGTTTCCTCTCTTAAACACTCTGCACTTCGATGACTCATTTGTGTTCGCCCATGTTATGAATTGATGCTAAGAAGAGGCCAAAAAGTGTTCTCACCCACACACTCACACAGTGATAGATGGGCTTGGTGATGCAGTAGAGGAGGACATATGGTTAAGAGTTGGCTGGGGATTATTAATGATCATTTCCTGCTGCCCTCTAGTTACTGCAATCAGCTGCATTCATCAGGATGCTCGCTGAGAATAAAGGAACTGTCTTCCCTTTTTCTTTTCATCTCATTCTGGATCTCTCTCTTTCTGATTTGTATGTCACTCGGTGTCAGATGCACCCTGCTAGGTCTCTCAGCTTTCTGGCTCAGTATTTGTGTGTGTTCTGTTATCTCCTTGGATATTTCTCAGCACTCAAAGCACTTTGACAATCCCTCTGCTTCTGGCTTCATTTACCTGGCAGGCCTCCAGTACTTTGACTGTGTGTGTGTGTGTGTGTGTGTGTGTGTGTGTGTGTGTGTGTGTGTGTGTGTGTGTGTGTGTGTGTGTGTGTGTGTGTGTGTGTGTGTGTGTGTGTGTGTGTGTGTGTGTGTCCTAGTGTTAAGGGAGGTAGCAGAACCGACAGTTTATTTTTCCTTCGTTTCATTTGTATCCCATCATTCATTTGGTGCATATGGCTGCGTGTGCTTGCATCAGTGTGCTCGCAAAGGAGGCGGTAAAGACTCCCCCAGCAGTTTGATCCACTATCCTATACCTACCTTCTGACCAGCCAGTGTGTGTGTTTCTGTGTGTGTGTGTGTGTGTGTGTATTGGACGCCAGGCAAAGGAAAATCAATGGTATTAATTTGCGGAGGCAGTGGTGTGAGCTGAGGCAATCTGCTGCACACTGGGAGCCACGCTTTGCTCTGATTTACCGTGCACACACAGAGACCCTCTTCCACCTCCCAGACTCACACCTTCCCTCCTTTCTTCTCCTGTTTAGTTTGCATTCAGAGACAATATCAGTTTACAGATTACGAGGCACACTGGAATGTCATGCTTCACTCGATCCCTGCCTCACACACACACACACACACACACACACACACACACACACACACACACACACACACACACACACACACACACACACACACTTTCCCTCCCTCACTAACTCACTCGCTCTCGTGATCCAGGTAATTAAAAGGCAGGCTGCTCCATGGTGGCAGGAGGGAGGAGAGGACTACAGGGAAGGGCAGGGTAGAGTCACTACCACACACTGGTGACAAACTACCTCTGCCAACACACACACACACACACACACACACACACACACACACACACACACACACACACACACACACACACACACACACACACACACACAGGATTGGTGGAGACTGATAAGTCTGCTCTAAATGGCATTCAATTAAAGAAAGATTACACTTCATACATTGGAGTAGATGCACCAGCAGACCACGCTTAATGAGAGAATGACTCAAACTTGACTTGAACCACATAATGTGACACACTCCATACTCTTTTACAAGTATTTTTCAATGGAGATAATTTATGTCAAAGGAACAGGTACATTCATTATTAATTGCAGTGCCTCACCAGAATGTGGCACATATATTGGGCTGTTGCTGTAATCCAAACCCTAAATAGGATGTGACAGGATTATATTAAATATGTAAGACCCGCCTTCTTGACACTGGCAACATAATTAATAGAACAATGACAACCATGTGAAGTCTGACAAAGTCAAAATGTAGTAAACCGTCCTACAAGACTTGTCCGTACAAATATACTTGCCGTGCCTAAAAACAGATGCAACGGAATAATGAGGGAAAGGTTTCAAACATAAAATAAAGAAGCTAGTGAGG